GGGCGAAGATGGACGCCACGACGCTGATGACCGAGGGGCCACCGAAGGGTAAGGAGCACCGCCGACCCAAACAATATTATGACAGTGTCCTGAAGGGATCCCGCCTTGTGGCGGAGGAATGTACAAAGGATGTAATCTTTGAATGAGTACATTCGTTATATCCTTGAATATGAAACAAGTTCATTTGCGCAATATAATGCTTGTTGATTTAAAATTGTACCTCATGTGCGGCCGTTTATAAAATCTGAGGGTTGGCCAGTCGTCGGCTTCTTCCCCCATGTAACTAGTACAAGGGTGTTCGGGATAAATCTAGACACTCTTTATCCAAGTTTCTGGTCCTTTAAGGAGGTGTCTAGCGCAACGAACAAGGCAATCAGACTATACAACTTTATCACCCTCACTTAGCCATAGAAGTTCTATAATTTTAAATTTTGGCATAGCCCCTGGTATTCGGAAGGCCGAACTTGGGGCGCTATACACGCCTAAATCGGACAAAGACCGATTCCTCGCATAAAGCGGAAAAAATCTTGAAGGATTTGAAACCTCTCGAACAGCGACCAGCTCTCACCGCATCATGACAGTCAGTTTTCGGCTTTCTCTACTGAGGTGCTCGTCCGGAAGAACCGGGACACAATCGCAGTAGTTCTCCCTTTACTACCCTAGCCGATATAGCGGAACATAGGGTAGCAAGCACAGGAGCTGGGCAACCCAACTATTGACCCAAGACATGATTCGGAGCTAATGCATATAATCGCAGTAGATCTCCATGGACCATGGTCATACTTCATTAGTTCACATGAATCTTTTTCTTTAGGACTCGAAAATGTATGATCGGTGTGTATAGACAAGGTGAACACAAAAGCAAACACAAAAGAAAGTACTACGCAGTCGCCGCCTCCTCCTCCAAGAAAAGCTAGGGTTCGTGCCTCTCGCTGGCTCCGCCTCGTCTCCGGTGGCCCTAGGGTCATGGGGGCGCGGTGGATCCTGGCAAGGGCCGACGGGAGGGTTCTATTGTTAGTCGTTTCTTCAAGATTTGTTAGGATTTGTGTCCTATTCAGGAAGGCGAGACAGCGGCGGCTCCCTGGAGATGGAATAAAGGTCTCCCGCCTAGTCTGCGTTCCGGTGGTGTGTCTAGCATCATTGGTGGGCGTGTGGAGGTGTGTCTCCGGTGGAACTATCCTCGGTGAATTTGCTTGGATCAGGTTGTGGTTTGTCTATATTCGTGTGTATTCAGGTTGGATCCTTTCGATCTACGTTATTCTTCATCTGCGACGGTTGCTGTTTTGGTGCGCTGGTCCTATGGGGCCTTAGCATGACGACTTTCCGACTGTCTACTATAACAAGTTGTGCCCGACTCCGGCGAGGGAGGGGTGATGACGGCGGCGCGCCTTCGGCTCGCTTCAGTACTTGTAGTCGTCGCTATGTGGTCTACGGATCTGGATGTAATTTTATTATTTTTGGTGTTCGTTGTACCACTAGTAGAAAAAGGGCCTAATGTTCAGCCCTTTAGTCCCGATTTGTAAATTAACCGTCACTAATGTGAGGCTATGCATTACTCCCAGTTCGTGTTGAACCTTTAGTACCGGTTCGTGGCACGAACCGGTACTAAAGGGGTGGTGGCAGGCTGGCGTCAGGCCGGGGCCCCACGAGCCCATTTAGTCCCGGTTTGTGACACGAACTGGGACTAAAGGTCTAACCTATAGTGCCGGTTTGTGTCACAAACCGGGACAAAAGGGGTCTAACCTTTAGTCCCGGTTGGAGACACAAACCGGGACTAAAGGGCAATTTTCAAACTCTACCCCCCCCCATGTATGGCCATTTTAGTTTTGTAAAAAACAAAAGAAAATGATAAAAACTTCAAAAATTAAAATCCTTTGAGATGTAGTTATGTTACTACATCTACTAGTTAGGAAAATTAAAAAACTTAAATTTGGACATGTTTTGCAAAAAAGTGTTATGAAAAAGTAAAACGGCCATATCTTTTGCATACGATGTCGAAAAAAATGTATAATATATCAAAAAAATCAGCACAAAAATCCGCATCCGATTTTGACCGCTATAGGCCTGTTTGGAAATATTTAGAATCCTCAAATTCTAAAAGGAAAAAAAGATATGCTCAAATTTCAGTTTTTTTTTAATTTTTGTTAAATCTGGTCAAATTGTGGTCAAACTATGGTCAAACTACTTATTCAAGAAATATTAGTGCTAATAAATAATTATTTTAGTTTTTTGAGTTTTGCTCAAACTGTGGTCAAACTATGGTCAAATCTGGTCAAACTATGGTCAAACTACTTATTCAAGAAATATTACTGTTACTAAATGATAATTATTTTTGAGAATAATAGTTTCAAAATCAAACGTTGAAACATGTGACTTCATGCTCAAGCTAAACTCCTAAGGGTTAATAGGATTGACATCTTACTATTGTCAGGTAAGCAACAAGTGCAGACTTGAAAACTAGGGGAAATAGAACTCGAAAGTTAAGCGTTCTTAGGCTGGAGTAGTGAGAGGATGGGTGACCGATCGGGAAGTTAGACGATTTGGAATGATGAGGGGTGATTAGAGCAATGATGAGGAGTGATTAGAGACTAAATCGTCAAATAATTCAGAAATTTGAAAATCAGAAGAAAAAAATCAATTTTTTTAAAAAAATAAAATAAAATTCAAAAAAAAATTCTTTAGTAGCGGTTGGTGTTATCAACCGGTACTAAAGGTCCCCTAGACCACCGCGTGGGCTCGTGCCACGTGGTGGGCCTTTAGCCCCGGTTCATGCAGAACCGGGACTAAAGAGGGGTACCTTTAGTCCCCACCCTTTAGTGTCGTGTTACAAAACCGGGACTAAAGGTCCTTACAAACCGGGGCAATAGGTCGTTTTTCTACTAGTGTACTGTCATGATTGAAGATGAATAGATCAAAAGTTATCTAAAAAAAGGAATTGATATTTGTGTTTACAGAAAGAAGAGAAGAGAAATTGGTACTCTTTTTGTTCCGATAATCTTCATTGGTTTTATTATTGTGATATTGGAGCTTCATCACTAGCTCTCAAGTGTAGCAAGTTACTACAATGGCCATGTTCGTTTTTAGTTTTCATGATTTGTTGAGGTCTCTCAGTAACCATGTATATGTGAAGACTGATTTATCCAAATGAGATACCTTATGACAAATCGCTATATTTAGTAGAAAACTTGATCGCACCATTCATTTCATAATTACACTTCAAGTACTGTGTTCATTACAACCTTTTCATCTTAAGATCATATATATCTACTATGTAAACAAAGTTACTCAATAAATGTATTATCATGCGCGTAGGACTAAGTGTTTCCCACAACAGCGTATGAGGTATCATCTAGTATATCTAAGTGATCCCATTTAAATGCACATGCAAGCCATCCACATCATCAAGCTCATGCAACCAATTAACTTTTCACCGTCCACCGCATGCAAGCCCTCTCATCATCAAGCGCATATGCAACCATTACATTCTCAGCCACATGCAAACCTCAAATCATTATTTTTTTATATTTTCAACAACAGATAATTGAACTTGAATGTCAAAAGGCAATATAATAAGCATCTATTGTCCATTTACCTTTAGGTTGAATGTGGTGCCATATTATTCTTATATATTCTAATTTTAATTTTGATAATTTCATTTCTATAAATTTCCACGTCAATGCGCGGGGAATTATCTAGTTTATCTAACTTGCACACATGCATTTTTTCCCCTTTTCTCTGGCGCATGAGAGAATTGCACAAACCCCCCCCCCCCTATTTTCATTTCTTCAAGTTAGATTTTTTTTCTCGTGTCAAACAAATTGGCACCCTTGATGGGACCTGGGTCTCCTCACATCTCCACTTCGTTGTGGTTGTCGAAATCGTCTTTCCCGTCTACCAATCTGCACAACATGTTGCATGACAAGGCATCGGTGAGGAGCTCCGCTAATCAAGATCCCTTCCATGTGGATAGCTCTCCCATGACAATAGCTCGAGCCACTGGTGATCCACTTTGGATCATTGCCACCCATGATCGTCATCGAGCTTGGTGCCAAGATCTACATGGACCAAGCCTAGGAGCTTGTGTAGTTTCAAACTGTGTGGTCCAAGAAGGCCAAAGGCGGCCAACCACCAAGGCAAAGGAGTGTCACGAGCTAATCTTTTGAAGGAGTCAACAAGGGCGGACATGAAAGAAGAAGTTGGTCTCGATATCTAATGGATCGAGGGGCTCTTAGCATGGGCGGTATGTAGTAAAGTACAAAACACCCCTAAGAGTACCCCCAACGGCCAGCACGAGGTTGCCCAAGGTTCTTCCGTCCAGACAAAACAACGGCAACATGGTTGCACTTGCACACAATCCTTCAGCAAGACGGAAATGGCAAGGTGCCGACGCGTGGTGGATGAAGAGGACGGGCATCACGGCGGCACGCCCGAGAGGAGAGGAGGAGGTGCCGACGTGCCAGAGGATAAGAGAGGATGCCAACCACGCTACAAGGGAGGGACGAGACCAACAGAGTATATCTTCTATGTCTAAAAGGAAAATGAGGCGATGATCAACCGGGAGTTCCTATAATTAAAGAGGTGGAAATGTTTTGATTAAATTAAAAAAACTTATTTTTGATGGTAAAGTTTTCAGTCAAATCTTATTTAGAATTCAGTAAGCAAATTCGAATATCATATAGCAGCACTAATTGTTTGACTGGAATGCATTCTTTGCAGCCTACAAAACTCAGTTTTTTTTAGAAAACCTTTTTTTAATACCCTGAGCGATGGGCCTTCAAGCCCAGCCACCGTGGTAACCCTAGCTCGCTCGCTCGCCCTAGGCAGGCCCAGGCCGCGCGCACATAAAAGACGACGAGCCGCCGCCGCAAACTCTGTCTTCCGCCGGAGGAGGAGCGACGGCGGCATCAACTCCGTGAACCAGGTATGCCCGCCCCATCAGCTCATCGATCCCAACCCTGAAGCTTGGAGTGACAGACCTCCGATCGACTCTCAGGTCCGTCATGTCGTCGTTCGCCGGCGTATCCGTCCTCGCCGACGGCGGGCTGTGCCCCGCGACCGAGTCGTTCGTCGACACCGGCACGGACTGCGGGTACCACCTGCTGGTGGTCCAGGACTACCGGCGCACTAAGCAGGAGGCACCCACCGGCGACAGCATCACCTCCCGCCCATTCACCGTCGGAGGCCACGACTGGTACCTCCACTACTACCCCAACGGCGAGAACCTGAGCTGCGCCGACTACGTCTCCCTCAGCGTTTCCCGCCTGTACGACGACGAGGGGGCCGACGAGGTCGTGGACACCAAGTTCGGGTTCAGTTTCGTCGACCAGGTCGAGAAGCAGAATCCAGTGTACATCCGTGGAACCGAAACGTGCAGCTTCCCCTTACCCGGTTCTTCGTGGAGCTGCGACAAGTTCGTCAGGAGACACGCCCTCGAACGATCGGCAAATCTAAGGGGCGACTGCTTCACCATCCGGTGCGACATCATGGTTGTCCACGACACCAAGGGCGGCGATGGCGAGGCGCTCCTGCCTGACATACACCGGCATTTCGGCGATCTCTTTCAAACCAATTTGGGTGCTGATGTGACATTCGAGGTCTGTGGTGAGATGATTGCTGCACACAGATGCGTGCTTGCTGCCCGGTCTAAAGTCTTCAGGGCACAGCTCTTTGGCCCCATGAAGGAGGGCAGTGCTACTACTACATCCAGTGTCATACAGATCAAAGACATGGAAGCAAACATATTCAGAGCCTTGCTTAGCTTTGTCTACACAGACTCATTCCCCGCGATGCATGAGGACAGCATGGAGGAGGATGAAACGTCACACCTTGTGGAACATGGACAAGGAGAGGAAGCTCTAGAAGACAAAATGTCAGAAGCTGCGGAACAAGGACAAGGAGAGGAAGCAATAGAGGACAAAATGTCAGAAGTTGCGGAACAAGGACAAGGAGAGGAAGCAGTAGAGGATGAAACACGCGTGCAATGGCTGCAGGACTTGTTTGTAGCGGCAGACAGATATGATCTCCAACGGCTCAAGTTCATCTGCGAAAAACAGCTATCTGAGCTCATAGGTGTCAGCTCAGTGGCGTCCACCCTTGCTCTAGCTGAGCGGCACCACTGCCGCGGATTGAAAGAGGCGTGCATTAAGTTTATCCAAGTCCAGTCTCCCTCATGTTTGCAAACAATAATGGCGACCGATGGCTGGGAGCATATAATCACGACCTATCCCTCTGTTTTGAACGAGCTCATTGCCGAGGTTATTGCTTTGAACCAGCAGACTTTATCACTCTTTACTAAGATCTGAAGTGACGCTGCTATGCATATGTGGGATCCCCTAGACTAGAGAGATCGTAGTCCATGTCTCTTGTTTTTTTATCTTGTCATCTATATAATTTGTCTGTATGCTGAATTAGAAAAATCCCAGCGTATAGGCAAATTGTCCCTTCATGGAATGGTTGGTCTGTAAACTCAAGTGTTGAGTGCAGATTGATTTGGCATTGCAGCACAGTGTAACTTTCTTAGCTAGTTGTTTTATCCTCGTATACGTATCTTCATTATTGTGTTGTATATTGTTGCTTTGGGCCTTCCCTATCATGAAAACCTTTTTGTAGCGGTTGTCAAGAAGAAAAATGTTGATGCTTCTGGATAGGCATTTTATGAACCTAGATTTAGGTGAAAGAATTTGGAAGATAAGATAGGTCACCAAGAATACCGGTTATGTGACAGCGATAGCGTGAAATCTTGGTCTAGTGCCTAGTAACCTTCTCCTGGGTACTTAGTGTTCTCCTCAGGCGGCCTATTCCCATTTGAGAGGAAGGTTGGTGCTTGGAATTTTGCAAAGTCAAATGTTGTAGCTGTGCCCTGTACCCCAAAGGATGACTCCATCTGGTGTATTTTGAAACTATAGAGATGATTGGTGTCAATTTCCACGACGAAAAGATGGGGTAAAGCTTTGAGTGCATGGACAGGGGCTATATTTTCTTTTCTGTATATACTCATATAACAAATGTCTTTTGTTCAAATTACTTGAAGCTTTGCTTGTAATAAATTCCAGGGTAATGCCCATATCCTTACTGGGTATTAATTCCAAGGTAATGAACATGTTGGTGTCTGTCAGTTTACAGGAAACCAGAGGATATGAATCATCATCACCCTATCTGCTTGCATGTTCGTGAAGACTCAGTATAACTGCTCTTGATCCTTTATCCCTTCCTGCCCTATTTTCACATCTCAAATCAGACACACAGGCATAAACTTCACCAGAGGAACGATGCAGATAGTTTAACCAGATCTTGTAACCGCATGCTTGACCGGGTGAGGATAGGATGGAGCACACGACCGATCGTCGACACCCGCTATGACCCGGCCAAGAAATCACCCACTTATGCCAAACAAAACCAAGCACTGCACTACACTCTACAGCTCTCAGAACACAATGCTTGTGCGACCACCATTTCAAACATGCCTAAGATTGTTACGCAAAGTCAGAATGAAGCAGCACGATGCAACAGCCGATCGTGTGTCGGCTCAATTTATGTTTGATACGCTTCACCATACGTACAAGATATCCATACGTACAAGATATCCGTACGTGGGGAGCATGGTCAATGACTAGGCTACACTTTATGAACTAACAGGTTCCTTGCCAAA